CATTCGCAAATTCAAGGCAAAGGGCACTGTTGAAACGCTACCTGGTCGTGGCAGAAAGAAGATGCTGACTTCGACTGCTGTGCGCTACCTGAAGCGTAGAGTGGAGAGAAGTCCCCGTGTGACTGCTGAGGAACTGAGAAAAGATTTGTCAGATGTGGGTACAGAAGTTTCAGCCCAGACAATAAGACGCACACTGCGTAATGAAGGCCTCCGTGCCAGAACTCCCAGGCGTACCCCCTTGCTGTCTCCAAAGAATAAGAAGAGTCGACTGCAGTATGCCAAAAGCCATGTGGACAAACCACAAAAGTTGTGGGATAGTGTTCTGTGGACTGATGAAACAAAATTAGAACTGTTTGGGCCCATGGATCAACGCTATGTTTGGAGGAGGAAGAACAAGGCCTATGATGAAAAGAACACCTTGCCTACTGTGAAGCATGGTGGAGGGTCAATCATGCTTTGGGGCTGTTTTGCTTCTGCAGGTACAGGGAAGCTTCAGCGTGTGCAAGGTACCATGAATTCTCTTCAGTACCAGGAGATATTGGATGGAAACGTGATGCAGTCCGTCACACACCTGAGGCTTGGGAGACGTTGGACCTTTCAACAGGACAATGATCCCAAGCATACCTCCAAGTCCACTAGAGCATGGTTGCAGAGGAAAGGCTGGAACATTTTGGAGTGGCCATCGCAGTCACCAGACTTAAATCCGATTGAGAACCTCTGGTGGGACTTAAAGAAAGCAGTTGCAGTGCGCAAGCCTAAGAATGTGACTGAACTGGAGGCCTTTGCCCATGAAGAATGGGCGAAGATACCCGTAGATCGCTGCAAGACACTTGTGTCAAGCTATGCTTCACGTTTAAAAGCTGTTATAACTGTAAAAGGATGCTGTACTAAGTACTAAGATTGAATGTCACTTGGGGGTTGAATAAAACTGATAATGCTGTGAGCACAGAAAAGACATTTGTTTATTTCATTATAACTGTTATGTTATATTTGTCTGACCTACAAGTGCCTCTTTAATGTAAATGTAAGCAAGATGACTGAATGATCAAAAGCAATGTCAAACTGGCCAAAACACTCAATTTCAGTGGGGGTTGAATAATTTTGGACACAACTGTATAACTGGCCTTTGCAACGAGGAGCACATGGAAAGGCGACGTACGTCACAGAAAAATTCCCAGCACAACTTACCAAACGAATTCTCCTAGAGGTCCTTTCACACGGGCGTTCCATCTTTTTTCATCAGTTCAGTCACATTTTTTCAAAGAAAAAAATGGATCAGTTTACATCCGATTTTTTTTTTTAAACTGAAGAAAAATAAAAGGTTTCTTCCGTTCAAAAATAATGGATGTTAATGGATACGGACATTAACGGATGTAAATGGATGATCTGTTTACACCCGCTAATCTATAGAAATACACAGGTGACAGTTTTTTCAGATGTAAACTGACAGATGTAAACCAGACATACGGAACGCCCGCGTGAAAGAGGCCTATCATTTCATGTTAAATGCAGGGGTTTAGTTTGCACACATTTGCAAATGCATGTTGGCTCTTCACGGCACCCCAATGCTGTCTGTTGTCCTGACTCAAACTTTTGAGTGCCTCCATATTAGGAGCACACATATAATGGATAGGACAGCTAAGCCTGGAGGGAGCCCCAGCCCTCCAGAGGATTCCCCCTCCCTTCCTGACCAGGCCATTTTTCACTATACGGCGCTGCGTTCCTTTGACAATTGCACGGTCATGCAACACTGCACCCAAATTAAGTTTACGTCTTTTTTTCCCCCCACAGAGCTTTCTTTCGGTGGTATTTAATCGCCTCTGTTTAATTTTTGTGCTATAAACAAAAAAAGACCAATTTTGAGAAAAAAAATCTATTTTTTACTTTTTGCTATAAAACATCAAGTAAAAAAATGTAAAAATCAAACTTCATGATAAATTTAGGTCAAAATGTATTCTGCTACGTCTTTGCGAAAAAAAAAAAAAAAAAAATACCACTACGTGTAAATTAATTGGTTTAGGTGAAAGTTATAACGTCTACACATGGCGGTATATATACTGGAATTTTGTTTTTTGTTTTTTAATACAAGTAATGGCGTCGACCAGCGACTTATAGCAGGACTGTGGCAGGCATTCTGACACTGGGGGGGATGTTGGGGTTAACTGTCACTGACATCCCCAATGACACAAATACAGCGATCAATGCTACCAAAAAGCAGCGACTTATAGCAGGAGTGCGGCGGGCTGACACTGGGAAGGGGGGGGGGGAGAATGGGGTTGGGGTTGACTGTCACGGACATCCCCAGCGACACCAATCAGTGCTAATAAAAAGCACTGGCACTGTACTAATGGCACTCGGCAGGAAGAGGTTAACATGTGGAGAGATCAAAAGGTTAACTGTGTGCTGTGTGTGTACTTCACTAAGCGCAATGCTTTGTATGGCTCTGCTATGTCCATAGGTAGAGATCCTCTCACGGGAACACACTGGGCAGGAAGGGGTTAACATCTGGAGTGATCAAAGAGTTAACTGTGTGCGCTTTACTACGGAGACATGCTGCTTTGTATTTCGCTGCTGTGCACTGCAGCATGTTATTGCCGGCAGGAGAGATCTGTGTTTACACACAGGTCACTCCCCTATCAATGATACCCGGTGATCACCGGGTGCCTGGCCAGAAATAATCATCCGGAACCCTGTGATTGACATCCGTAGCAACCAATGGAACGCACCTCCTTACCCGGAAATACAAATCACGATAGATATATATACATATATAATATACACACGCATGATTTGCGCACCCTGCAGCAGCACTTCTATAGGGAGGCGGGGAAGGGGTTAACAGGTACAGGGGCGCACTGGACACCCATACAGCACTATGGCAGCTATGGTGTGCAGTACGACCCTCACCAACAACCATGACCAATGTATTCCATTCATCTGTGGAGCATCAGACACAAGTTTGTGTTTATAACACGTGGTACTTTGTTTTTACAACTAGAATATATATGAATATATATATATATATATATCTCACACCTGGGGGGGGTCTTAGCTTCCATGCCCACCACCAGGAGATCCTGTATCTTACAGGCCCCCACAACCAGACACCCCCCCCCCCCCCTTCCATCAGACTCTAGTAACAGGCCCAGCTTGCCTCCTCTCCAGGCTCGGTCTGTATTAGAGAAGCTCCGGTCTCCCCTCCATCTTACACACCGGCCTGTCACATGGGAGCAGACCCTGCAGGCCTCAGCTTCCTCCCACACGGCAGGCGGTCCGGCCGCCTCACACCCCATCCCCGACAGGCCAGCAACAAGAACACCGCTCCCGCCGCCTCCCCGGTGCCGCTCACTGCGCGGAGAAGGGTACTAGAGAGTCCAGAAGAGCCGCCACACCGGAGCCGCTCACCTTAGAGTCCGCCATCTTGCGCAGCCGGCCGAGAAAGAGACTCGAGCTCGGCCACGGGGTTTCCTAAGGGAAGTGAAAGGGGCGGAAGTGAGGAAGGAGCTCCGCCTAATGAGAGAGTAGTCAGCCTGCAGACTGGAGCTCCAGTTTGGAAAGGAAACATGTGACCTCCACTTTTTTTTTTTTTTTTTTTTTTTTTTTTTTTTAAAGCGGAATTCCACTCTGTAAAACAAAAACTGTAGCTGCTCACTTTTAAAAAACAGCCACTTACCTGTCCCTCGATCCCGCGTTGCCCCCGAATGTCATGTATTCCAGGAGGCCGGCATCTTTAGTGTGGGCACCTGGCTGTGATAACTTGCGGCTTTCACATCCGGGTGCCCACTGCGCATGCGCGATAAGTGCTGTGCTTTCTGAATGGCCCCGTCTCTTCTGGGACCTGTCATGTGTCCCACAAGACTTCAGGGAGGGAGGGGGGAGGACAACTTCCGTTTCCAAACGCCTAGGAGATAGCAGCGGAAGTGGGAGCGGCGCCTGTCAAATTCGGGTATCCGCTCCCCCCCATCCCCAAATGTGCCAATCCTTAATGAGGAGCGGGGGACCAATCTTTAAAGCGTAACTTCCCCTTTTGGGTGGAACTCCGCTTTAATAAACTCTAATGTAACAACCAAGAGACACGACTGGAGGAAGTGGAGGTCACATGTTTCTTGTCACATCTGAATTTCCCAAGAGCACTTGGCCTCAGAGTGGAGCTCCACTCTCAACAGGAAACATGAGCTCCACAGATTTTTTATTTTTTTTTTAATCAACTTTAACCTTTTCGTTGGCAGAGCCATTTTTTCATTTTTATTTTTTGCACACATTTAAAAAATAATTTTAGGCCTGAAGATTACACAAAATCCCAAACATTATTTATTTTCTGAAAGCAGAGACCCTAGAGAATAAAATAGCGGTAGTTTACATTTTTTGTCACACAATATTACCGCAAAGGTCTAGGAAACGCTAGATTTCAGTAAAAAACACACTAAAGTGAATTTTAGGGCAAACAAATGCAATAAATTAACCAAATGTTTGTACAATATAAAAGATGAGGTTGATTCGAGTAAATAGATACCCAACATGTCAACCCTCAAATTTCTGTGCGCCCGTGAAATGGTGACAAACATCAGTACCCTATATTTCCTATAGGCGGTGCTTGATACCGATACAGGTCATCAGTTTATTGTTACAGAGGAGATCTTGTGCTAGAATTATTGCTCTCGCTCTGGTGTGCATGGCGATATGTAACATGTGTATCACAATCAACGTTTTCAAGTGTAGGCACCCCCTGACACGTGTGTGTATGTTCGTATGTGCATATATGTGTGGGGGGGTCTCAGCAGGTCACAGCAAGAAGGGCAGGAGAGCGAATGTGTCTGCTCTCCTCCTTCCCCCTCCACCCACTGGCACCTGCCATGTCAGTCCAGGCCCACAGATGGGCAAGCAGAGCCTGGAGTACAGGACAGAGTGCCATTATCAGGGGGGTGTGGAAGCAATCAGCAGCCACCCGAATGCTTCCACTTGACAGGAAGGAGTTTTTTTGTGTGTAGAACCCCTACAGTCAATGTGTATGCCATGAAAATACACTATATTGCCAAAAGTATTGGGACACCCCTCCAAATCATTGGATTCAGGTGTTCCAATCACCTCCATGGTCAACTGTTAGTGGTATTATAACAACGTGGAAGCAACTGGGAACAACAGCAACTCAGCCACAAATCATTGGATTCAGGTGTATAAAATCAAGCACCTCGGCATGCAGACTGCTTCTACAAACATTTGTGGAAGAATGGGTCGCTCTCAGGAGCTCAGTGACTCCAAGCGTGGTACCGTGATAGGTTGTCATCTGTGCAATAAGTCCATCTGTGACATTTCCTGGCTACTAAATATTCCACGGTCAACTGTTAGTGGTATTATAACAAAGTGGAAGCAACTGGGAACAACAGCAACTCAGCCACAAAGTGGTAGGCTACGTAAAATTACAGAGCGGGGTCAGCACATGCTGAAACGCACAGTGCGCAGAAGTCACCAACTGTCTGCAGAGTCACTAGCTAAAGACCTCCAAACTTGGTGTGCTCTTCAGATTAGCACAACAACAGTGTGTAGAGAGCTTCATGGAATGGGTTTCCATCAATGGGCAGCTGCATCCAAGCCTTACATCACCAAGTGCAATGCAAAGTGTCAGATGCCGTGGTGTAAAGCATGCCGCCACTGTACTCTAGAGCAGTGGAAACGTGTTCTCTAGAGTGACGAATCACGCTTCTCTGTCTGGCAATCAGATGGACATGTCTGGGTTTGGCGGTTGCCAGGAGAATAGTACTTTATCTGACTGCATTGTGCCAAGTGTAAAGTTTGGTGGAGGGGAGATTATGGTGTGGGGGTGTTCCTCAGGGGTTGGGCTTGGACCCCTAGTTCCAGTGAAGGGAACTCTTAAGGCATCATCATACCAAGACATTTTGGACAATTTCATGCTCCCAACTTTGTGGGAAGAGTTTGGGGATGGCCCCTTCCTGTTCCAACATGACTGCGCACCAGTGCACAAAGCAAGGTCCATAAAGACATGGATGAGCGAGTTTGGTCTGGAGGAACTTGACCCGCAGGTGCCGTGATTTGATCACCAAGGGATCAATTATCCGATTTAGGCCAGTGATGGTTGGCCTAAGTTGGATGATTGATCCCTGTCCTATCAGGGATCTTCCTGTACCTGTGTTTACAGTTACACATGTACAAGAAATGATGACATGTTCATGTTCCGTCCCAGAGAGAAGATTCAACACAAAAGCGAGTACAAGCAGCACATTTACAGTTATAACACTTTAGGACACATTTAACCCCTTGATCCCCCCCCCCCCCAAGTTAATGCCTTCACTGCCCTGTCACCAGTGTCATTAGTACAGTGTACAGATTTCTTGCTGATCACAGTATTAGTGTCGCCGGTGACTTCAGAAAGCGTTAGCATCAGTTAGCGCCCCTCCCAGATAGCGTCAGATTGCCCGTCAGTACACCAGTAATCACATTTAACCCCTTGATTGCCAGAAACATGCTCATACACAATAAACCTCTATTGCTAGTATAGTGTCTGAACAGATCAATATCTTTGATTAGATCAGCACTATACCAGCGTTCACATTAGTATAGTGTCCCCCAAAATGCAGCATTAGCCATGTCACATGCCAGCCCCTGCGCTTAGCCCCCCCCCCCCCTTCTCCCCCAGCAAGGGCAGTGTCAGTAGATCACTGTCACGTGATACATTGCACACAAAACCGCAGTGTTCGCAGAATCAGGCCTCATCTCTGTTGGCACTTGCCGGTAAATTTCTTTGTAGCGGTTCAAGCAGTCCCTGACAGCCAGGCGCTCTTTTTTCCGTGAGTCGCATTAGGTACCTATAAATTTAGTGGCTAAAATGTCTATGGAAAGGTACTCTAGTGAAGAGGCCTACAGGATTCTGAGCATGTCAGATGAGAGCGAAGGAGAAGACTCCCTGACACAATCAGCCTCAGAATACAAACCTGTAGAGAGCAGCGGCACCCTGACAAATAGCTCAGACGATGGAGAAGAGGTCCCTGCTAAGATCAGGTGTACCCGACCCCATTTCCAGGTTGTTACAAACACATGATGACTCTCATATGCAGCAGAGTGCCAGTACTAGTGCCTCTCTACCTTTTAACCACTTCCTCTCTGGACACTTTTACCCCCTTCCTGTCCAGGGCAATTTTCAGCTTTCAGCGCTATCACACTTTGAATGACAATTGCGCAGTCATGCAACACTGTAGCCATATGAATTTTTTTTACCATTTTTTGAGACAGATAAAGCTTTATTTTGGTGGTATTTATTCACTGCTGGGATTTTTATTTTTTTTTGCTATGTAAATGAAAAAGTCCAAAAATTTAGAAAAAAGTGTTTTTCTTATAAAATTTTGCAAATAAATAATATTTCATCATAAATCTTGGCCAAAATTTATTCCGTTATCTTTTTAGTAAAAAAAAAATAAGCCAAATTAGTTTATAACCAAAAATTATAATTTTTAAACATTTTTTTTTTATATTTTTATTTTATTCTTTTATATTATTATTTGTTTTTTTTTTACATACTGTCACCCTAGCAGTTCAGTGTCACCATGGTGACACTGTACTACTTGTGGGGGGTGATGAAGATTTTTTTTTTTTTTTTTTTTTTTACAGTGATTGCTTTTACACCCATATAGGATCATTCAATGATTTCTCTTTCTCTCTGCATTCTTGCAGCCATTGAGAAATACTGTGTGAGCTGTGATTGGACATAGCTTGTCACATGGTACAAGGCTGTTGTGAATAGCCTTGTACCATGTGACCTCTGTGATCATTCACAGATTTCACACATAGTATTGTACAGCGCTGAGCAAACCCTTTGGCGCTATATAAACTCGATGTAATAATAGTAAGCAATGATGTCACAAGTGACATCTTGCTTACTACTTTGCATGTGATCACTGATTGGCCAATCAGTGATCACATGATCGGGACCTCGTACAGAGGTCCTGTCCAACGATTGGTGTTTCACTGTGTCCGGAGGACACAGCGGGCACCGGATTGCAGTGTTGCATGCTCCCAGGGAGCGCGCACAACTAGAAATAGCGGGTGCCGTTTATGAATGGCAACCCGCCCCTGGAGTGCCACCGTCCTGCCGTTTAAAAACAGTAGGCGGATGGCAAGTGGTTAATTAACTGGCGAGCACCAGCGGCCTAGTACATCCTGGTCTTTCACATACCAGCACTGCAGTATCACTTGGTGGCGAGTCCCATACGTGCAGTACAAACTGGTGCAGTGGTGAGCACAAGTAGTGTCCTGCAGCCACCAAGAATTCACGCACAGGCCCGTAGGGCCCCTAGAATCCTTCTGCATGTGCTTGCAAATACTGATTGGCAGACCACAAATTCTGCAGCACCCGTACTTCCCCCATCCACTGGCCAACCTGGAATTAAGGCAGAAACAGCAAATTTAACTACTTCCCTTGATTTTTTTGGAGCTGTTTTTCACAGAAGATATGCATTGACTGTGGATCAAAGCAATTTATATGCACAACAGTTTATTGCCGCCAACCCAAATTCAAACCTTGCCAGACCATTCGCATGGAAACCCATTAAGGTATCCAAATTTAAAGTTTTTTGGGGCCTAACCCTCACCATGGGCATTACTAAAAAAAATCAATTGCGGTTGTATTGGTCCACAGACCCGATTCATCATATGCCCGTGTTCTCTGCTGCCATGGCCAGGCATAGATATGAGAGTATAATGCGTTTTATGCATTTCAAGGACAACCCACTCTGTCGTCCTCAGGGTGACCCTGAATTTGACCGGCTCCACAAAATGCGTCCCCTTCTAAGTCACCTTAACCAAAAATTTGCAGATGTCTATACTCCCCAGTAAAACATCTGCATTGGTGAGTCCCTCATTATTTTTTTTCAGCCGCCTTGCATTCTAACAATTTATCCCCAGCAAGCGTGCCAGATCTTCAATGCCTCAGCCAGGGCATTGAAAATGGGTCGTGGTTGGGTGTTCCAGCATGACAATGACCCAAAACACACGGCCAAGACAACAAAGGAGAGGCTCAAGAAGAAGCACATTAAGGTCCTGGAGTGGACTAGCCAGTCTCCAGACCTTAATCCGATTGAAAATCTATGGAGGGAGCTGAAAGTTTGAGTTGCCAAACGTCAGCCACCAAACCTTAATGACTTGGAGAGGCTCTGCCAAGAGGAGTGGGTCAAAATCCCTCCTGAGATGTGTGCAAACCTGGTGGCCAACTACAGGAAATGCCTGACCTCTGTGATTGCCAACAAGGGATTTGCCACCAAGTACTAAGTCATGTTTTGTGAAGGGGATGAAATACTTATTTCCCTCATGAACATGCAAATAAGTGCATAATTTGTTAGACATGCATTTCTTTTGAATTTTTTGTTGCTATTCTGTCTCTCAGTGTTACAATACACCTACCATTCGATTTTTAGACTGATCATTTCTTTGTGAGTGGGCAAACATTCAAAATCAGCAGGGGATCAAATACTTATTTCCTTCATTGTATATGTTACCAAATAATTGGCCAATATATTGTGTTTTTGTGCATTAAAAGTAAAAAAAGTATTTTTGTCAAAAAGATTTGCGTTTGAAAAACTACTGTGCGAGTACTATGTGACATAAAAAAATTGCAGCACCCACCATTTTATTCACTAGAATGTCTGCTTTAAAAAAATATATAATGTTTGGGGTTCAAGGTAATTTACTAGCGAAAAATAATTTTTTTTCATTTGAACAAAAAGTGTCAGAAAAGGATTGGTCTTCAGGTGGTTTAGAAGAGTGAGTGATGTGTGGCATAAACTTCTAATGCTGGGCATACCAGACATTTGAGGGACCAGACATTGGGGGATGAAATTACAATATGGGGGGTTGAATTACTATGGGGAGGATGAATTTTAACTATGGGGAATATGATGGAATTAACTCGTGAATCATTTATGAACATCTATATAGTATAGAAAGACATCTCTCTACTAGTGTGGCCCGCCATTTCAATAATTGTCATGCAGGAGATATTACAGCAGTACAGGTCATTGAAAAAATTTGTCCTTCAAAAAGAGGTGGTGATACGTTTTTGCGGTTATGCAAAAGGAAGGCATTCTGGATATTCCATCTAAATACACTTATATTCCACAGGTTTTGAACCATGAATGGGGTATCACATATTTTTATGATTGATAGAGAACATATCTCTAGCATTCCCTTCACCCCTGCATATTTTTTAATTTATTTCAGGTACTTATATAGTGCCATCAATTTACGCAGCGCTTTACATATATATTATACATTCACATCAGTCCCTAACCCTCAAGGGGTGTACAATCTAAGGTCCCTAACTTACATTCATACATACACATACTAGGGCCAATTTAGACAGGATCCAATTCACCTACCAGCATGACTTTGGAGTGTGGGAGGAAACCGAAGTACCCGGAGGAAACCCACGCAGGCACAGGGAGAACATGAAAACTCCAGGCAGGTGGTGCCATG